CGACTCACCTTCATTAGCACAGCACTTTGCCTCATATTTCTTAAAGGTGCTAATGGATGTTAACTCAAAATAGATTAAAAAACAGACAAATTGCTACTACCTTAAAAAGAATTATAATAAATTTGAAACTGTAACTTATGGTTATGTAGTCTTTGGAAAGGAATATAAAATCCAATATTTTTTATAGTTAGAAAAATCCCATGGTGCATTTTTTTCCTCTTTAGTCATAATTCCTTAAGCAACACCACTGCATATTTCTTTAGGAAGATAAAAGAGGAGACCCCCCCCAAAACACCAGAATTATCTTTTAGAGGGCAGCCCCTTGTAGTATAGGCTTCCCTCACTAGATGAGGGTTCTAGGAACTCGTCTGTGTCAGTGTACCAGCTTGTGGTGTTGTGAGAGGCTGTGCTAGGCTTCAGTGAATTTTTTTGAAGATTCTTTCAATGTGTTTGCTCATTTCATGATGGGTGATTTACAGGCACACCTGCCCACACTGCACTGAGTGTTCAGCAGTCTTTTACCAAAAACAGCATGACCCCCATGCCATACCCCCTGTTCACCCGATCTCACCTCAAGGGACTTTTTTTTTTGTTTCTCTCAATGAAAAAGTCCTCAAAAAGAAACATTTTACCGATAAGGAAGAGGTGAAACAAAACATGGCAGAAGCACTAAAAGGCATCAAAATCAATGAGTTCAAAAACTGTTTTGAGACAGTGGGAAAAAAGTCCCGATAGGTGCATTGCATCAAATGGGTAGAGTACTTTGAAAGTGACTGAAGTTTAAACATGTAAGAATAAATACACAATTTTTATAAATAAATTCCAGGAGGTGGGTTTGGTCCCTCCATGTCCACTGCATTTTTAAAACTGTATGTATAATATAGGTGTTGCCACTGATAGTTTTCAGCAAGTGGAAATTGAATAACAAAAACCAGGGGCCATGGGGAAACTTTTTACAATTTAACTTTATGTTGCTTTTTTATATTACATACATTTTATGAGTTGTAACAGAGGACAGTTCTTTTCATTCTAATGAATGGAGTTGCACCTGAAAATATGTCTGCAAATTTTGTGTGTAGGCATAAGGATTTAAAATGATGTGGAACCTCCTGGTGTCTCACACTGAACTCCTTGTGTAGGGCATGAAAGTGCTTACAGAATCCGTACAAAAAGGTGAACATAATTTGTACTTCTGAGTAAATGAAAATAACTTTAGTATGAGATTGTCACACTGATTCTCCAGGAGACACTACGTAAAAGATGGAACTTTCCCTGGTGGAACCACATGTATTTCCCTGAATAACTTCTACCCAGCAAAGCTCTAAAATGGATTATTTACATTTCCCCCACTGCGTTGTTTTGCAGAATTCACAGAGCACAGTTAGTAAAAAGATTGCTTAGAAGACATATTATATCCACAGAGGAATTCCAGTATCATTTTTCATGCAGCTCTACAAAGCCAAAGTACTGCCTGTTCTTGCCCATAACCTGTGAAAGCCAAAGAATTAACAGTCTGTATTCTCTGCTATAAGTGTATCTTACTTTATACAAGAGAAATAGATAAGTTGAATTTTGCTAAATAAAAGAATATATAAAACACATTGTGAGAGCTGACAACATAAGTTAACCCTTCTATGGAAGTATTTGCTAAAGTGAACAATTACTCTCTAATTTATATACTTCATAAATCCATATCTTCAGGTAGCAAGTTTGCTTAAGGTGAATTGTATCTCTTTCTGTAAAAGTTATCACATAGAGATACTTTCTATTTTTAAAAATTGGACCTCCAAAATAAATTGCCTGTCAACCCTAGGTATAAAACTTGTTACAGGCCCTCGGACAGTTTAGAAAAGATGTACCATAGAAGACAGTCCTGTCTTTGTGGTGGGTTTCAATGTTTTCTCTTTTCCATTCTTTTTCCATCTCTTTTCAGTTAGCTGTTCCTTGAATGCTAAGTGGCTTTGGAGCGTGTTTACTTCTTTTGCAGTGCGATACAGGTTTTCTGAGAATCCTCTCTGACCAAGTGAATTCAGCTCTCCTGTAGTGAGATGTGCATCCTTCTGGGTTTTCTGACAGGAGGGAGGAAGGTAACCTACCTGTACCATAGGGAATGGCAGGTAAAGAAAAGGGAGGATTTCCAGAAAATATGTTCTTGAGGAAGGTTCTGGAATCTCCTCCAGAGAGGATTAAGAGAAAATAGATTCTTCTTGTATATGAAGTCTATTTTAAAGGTAACTTCTTGTTCTGTGGTTATTTTATTTTGAACATTATAACTAATGTTATAAAGATTTATTTCTTAAATATCTCAGAAGTAGAACAACATTGAACGTTACTGTAGAGAGTTGGTTGTCATAACACATTGTTAGTTAACTCATGCGCTCAGTAATCGTGCCCGCCACAATAAGAGCTGAGATGTGAGGGCCTTTTTAGTCAGTCACAGTATTAGGCATATCATTACAGCCAATTCCTTATAACAGTTCTATGACATAAGTAGTTTTACCCTGATTTTATAGTTGAGGAAATCAAGTCCTAAAGCAGTAAAGTGACACCAGGATTCACACCTGTTTCTGGTTGACTCTTGCAGTCCATGTTGGCACAGCCAGTTGCCATGTTTCTTCTCAACAAGTGCAGTCAGCAGCCTGAATGACAGGCAGAGGCCTTCGTTCAGGTGGGAGAGATAGGCGAGTAAAGAGATGATGGCAGTGCAGTTCGGGAGTACTTAAATGAAAGACAAATCTTGCAGGGTGCCAGCCACAGGTGTGCAGAGAAGGGGTGCCTCGCCCAATTTCGTGGGGAGATAGCCTTGCTTAGGGAAGGCTTCCTGAGGGGAGGAGATTCTTGAGCTGAGGAGTTCCTAAGGAAAGTGTTGGTCTTTATGATTATTAGTATATTAGTGTCTAGCTTTGCCTTGTTTGTGGGTTTCTGTTTTTTAAATTATTGTTTTATCATTCATTCACCAATAACTAGGTCTGGCTCGTAGGTACAAAAATGACCATGGCTCTTAAGGATCTTACATTGGAGCATGAGAAATAGACATTTACGAAAGCAATTATACACTAACTTTATAAGTGCTATGCAGGAAAAGTAGGCAGTACTGGAAGAGTGAACAACCTGGAAACCTTCCCTCATTTGGAGAGGGGAGCAGGGACAGGGCAGTGATCGGAATTACCTGAGGAAATGACACTCGGGCTAAGAACTCAAGAATGAGTATGGTAAAAAAAAAAAAAGGTGAAGGGACGTATACTCAATAATACTATGATAACTTTGCATGGTAACAGATGGTTACTAGACTTGTGATCATACCATAAAGTATATAAATGTTGAGTCACTATGCTCTGTACCTGAAACTCATATAATATTGTATGCCAAGATTGATAATTTTTTTAAAGAATGAGTAGGCGATAGGCATGAGAAGGTGATATTTAGGGGGAAGTATATTAAAAAGTGCCCCACTATATTAAAAAGAGAGCAACAGGTGCGAAGTCTCTGAGGCCAGACAGAACTTGGGCAGCTTGATGATCTGAAGTTAAGTCAGGTGACTGGATAGTACAAAAACACACGCTCGAGAGAGAGAGGGCTAGATGATGCATGACCTTCTAAATATTTTCCCATAAGCTGCCTCAACTAAGGCAAGACTTAGAAGATAAATTTAAATTGAAAAAACTAAACAAATATATTGCTTAAAAATCCACTTAAGATCATCAGTTCATATTCCCAGCTCTAATTTGTATATCAGTTTTTTCTTTTTTATTCAACATTACATCTTATCTATATCACAAAAAGAATTAACTGCATGTCTTGTTTGAATTTAGAATAAAAGTTGATTTACATAAAAGCAAGTCTTGACTAGAGAGAGATTCTGACAAAGATTAAGTATTATCAATCCAATGTTGAAACATCAATTCTCAAATTAAAAAAGAAAAAGATTATATGTAACACAGTTTTCCAATTCACCCAGAAAACACCACATTATTTCAGAATAGTGCAGAGAACTGAATGTCATGGTCATCATACTTGTAAGCTGGCTTTCACAAGCAAACAGCAAGGATTTCACATTGTTTCAGGATTTTCCTGGTGGTCCTGATCGTTTCCGATAATGGACAGCTGTGGGGAGGGAGCTCACACCTGTGCACCACAGCACCGACTCTCAGACCGGCTTACTTAGGGTAAATGAAATATTGATGTCTTCGAAAATGCCCAAGTGTTCGGTAAAGATTTTAAATAAAGCCACCTAAAAGTTGTGGTTCTTAGGTTAATCATTTATTTATCTAAAGGATGAAGGAAGCTGTCTGCTTCTGTGATATGAACTGCAATCAGCTTAAAAATAATTGACAAATTAATCCCTTCACAGCACAGCAATTGTAAAGGTGTTAGTTTTAATTAGGCCTGTCTGATTGCCTTGTCTAATCAAGAATCAAGGTGGTATCTTTGATGGTTAAGGTCTAGTGGGGCCTTCTCTGACCCGCCAGCCATGTATGTTTTAATTATTGATTCCTCACATTTCAGCCCTTCCCACAAAGGGGCTTGAAGTTTGCAATGCCTTAACATTTAAAGGGAAAAAAAATAAACATTTTCCCCAGCATTTCTGTCTAGGACCTTCTGTAACCTGCCCACCAATCTACAGTTTTGCCCTGAGAAGCCTGCCAGGTTGACAACAAAGTCAAATGCACATTCAGATATTCCTTACAGCAGCCCTACCTCCTGAGCACTAGGTTTTCAGTGGACATTGATTTGGGTCTCAGGAAGTCTTAGTGATTTATGCTTCTGGAAAACACATTTGATTTCTTGATATGCTAAAGTCCACAAGGGTGAACGCAGTTCTCAGGAAACCAGAGCCGTCAGACAAAAAGGGGCGTGGATCTTCTCCCCCAAGCACTTCTCCCACTGTGGGGAAGGAATGAGGGCAGGCCTCCTCACGCCACTCTAAGCTGGCAGTGAGCATGGGCAGCCGGTGGTCTCGGTGGTCCGTGTGCCTGACAGTGGCTCTTCTCTGGTTACAGGTCAATGAAGTGACGGTGGAGCAGCTGGTGCAGCAGTACCCCCACATCACCTTCAGCACCGTCCTCCAGGACTGCAAGAGGACCCTGGAGAGGGCCTACCAGATGGGCTGGACCCCCAACATGTCTGCCGCCTCCTCCTAACACTCCTGCCCAAGCTCCGCTCCGCTAGGATCTAGGATCACTCAGCAGGGCAGAGGGGAGTTGTCGATCTGGGGTGGGTGAACTCTTCGGAAGGTTTTAACTGTCGCCTGTCTGTGTGTGTACCCGAGTGTGTATATTTGTGTCTCGTTTGCATACTGCATAGCATAAGCGCAATTGCTGTTTATTCCCAGGTGAGCTGGTGTTTTTCTTAAAAGTTTAAGATTTTAAAAGGCACAAACCTTTCCTTTTTTAAGTTCAAAGGCTTATTTCTCAAAAAATGTTTCTACCATGGAATCAAAATACTGAGTCCATCATTTTGAGCTTCTAATTCCTGCCACTTGGTGATGCCCCGAAACGAAGGCAACTGCTTTCTTTTATGACGAGATAGACCCATGCGCTTCTGCCAATGATAACCAGAACATAAGCGGTGTTACACTAGTTAGAAGTGTGGAAACTGGAAATTTTCGAATTTTCAAGCACATACACACACATAGGTCCTCCACTCTCTTATATACGTGCACATGTGCACGCACACACTCACCAGGGCAGTTTCTTTGTAGATCATTTCCTGATGCAGAGGCCTTCCTCCAGGCCCCTGAGAGAGCGCCATCCACTGTGGCTCTGCCTAACTCGCTGTTCCCGCGGGTGGCCAGCCTGCTGTCTGGTAGGTGACATAGGGACTAGAGAGGATAAAGCCTTTTGTGACATTTTTATATGGAGGCAACAATCCCCTGGCCAGCTCACAGAAGTTAATTATTCATTTATAAGTGGGTTCTGTTGAATGTATTAGTTGAGTTTTATGTTAACATTGTGTTAGCTTTTACTTCATGGATAGTAACTGGTTTGGATATATTTTAATGATATTTGGAGCTAATCTTACCATTGTCCACATTTAAACCACCAATGTAATTAATAGTCTGGAGTTATTTTTTAAAAATCTACAGATCATTTAATTATTTTTGTTAATTTGGGTAATTATGAAATTATATTTCTGAGATTTGGGGGTAGTCACATTAATAGAACATTGAGTGAGATGTAAGTAGACAATCTTTTTTTTTCCTTTGCTTTGCTTTGGGTATTAGAACATGTTTTTTGGTTATATGCATGTTATTTTTTGAATAGTTCTTATGCTACTGCAAAGAGCTATTGCTGGTTAATGTGTGAGTTAAGAAAAATTATAAAATCCTTTCATTAAGATTGTTTAAACTTTTCAGAAATAAGCATTTCTTTGTTTAAAGATTGACACCCTTCAGTTAAGGAAATATCTATCAGTAAATGAATATATGTTTTGATTTCACACATCTTTAGAATTAATTCATAGTAGGGACTCAGGCTCAAATAACCTTTCCTGTGTCTAGATTTATAATCAAGACAGCAGAGAGCCTTTTTATGCTCAAGAGTGATTATCTTTCCCAGTAGAGCTAGATACAAAGCCCTGACTTGTGAGTCTGCTATTTATTCTTCCCCGGTGTGGACATAGCTGTGTGTTGGTCTTTAACAGGTATACTAAGGTTTGAGTTTCACTTTCTGTAAGTCCCAATATTGCTAAAATGAGACTAGCTCTGAGAAACAAAAAATAGCTTTGCATTAAAATGCCCTTCACTTATTTATAATGACTCCAAAAAATGTAAACAACTGTTTCTTTTGATTATGTCAACATGTTTCTGATGTGGCTTTTTTTTTCTTTTAATCCAAATCAGTTAGGAAAATCTAGTCAGTACCCGCCAAGGGTATTTTTTTCCGTCACTAAATGGATTGCTAATTTAATTTGAAGGGAATAAAGTTTGTGTAAGGAAAAACAGCTGTTTACTATTAATAAACTGTGGTTCTTCTTACACATCAAACTGTATTGGTTTCATTTCCTCTCCACCGAAAAATATCTTAAATCATAATATTTTAACTGGTTTTTAATCCAATGCTAATTTATAAGGCCGTATGTATAGTAATAGTAGCTTAAGTAAATAAGCAAAAGTTTAGTTTTTATATATGTCACACTATATTTTAAATAGTTAAAGATAAAGAAGGGAGAGCCATCGATGATGTGGATGGTGCCATTTCATTTCAAAGTTGTAATAATCTTTGGAGTGTTACAGTTTGGTTGTCAGATGGCTTCAGAAGTGTATAACTGATTTTTTTAAATGTTGCATTGTTTGAATCTACAGTACAGCACTATACACATGCTTTCGCTTGGGTTGGGAGGGTGGGTGGGATTGCACTTATTCTTTAAAATGTTGACTAATCCAGAAAGCCTGATGCAGCATAGCCTGGAAAACTGCTTTGGTGTATTTGTAGAAATCTGTAGAAATATCACATTCAGCCTCAAAGCATTAATCTCAAAAAAAAAAAGCCAACCCGAAAAAGCATTACCTTGAGTGATCCTGTGATGGTTGTTAAATGTCTTCTCATTAGATGCTTTGAAATGAGGCTTAAAATGATTTTTCTGGGCAATGTAGAGTTTCTTTCTTTCTTTTTTTCTTTTTTCTTTTTTTTGGCTTAGAATGTCATAAATGTATGTGAACACATTCAATGCAGGGCTTTTTATCCTCTCCAAAATGTCAACAGTATTTTCAGAATAAAGACTATGAAATATATTGCTGTAGTAGAAAATTCTGGTCCCTTGTCTTTAATGTCTTTTTGAGTGGATAAAGGAAATTTAACTGGTTTGTAGTTTCTATATTTCTGTGAATCTTTTGACCTTGCAGTGGGTTGCAATAAAAGAGAAACAAAACACTGTGCCTTTTGTTTCATTTCAGAGACAGTAACGGTCTCCCTGAGCTGGTTGGGTGCGAGGCGCGCCGTGGTCCCTGTCCTTGTGTGCCTCCCTGCAGACTTCACGTAGGTTTGACTCACTGAGAGGAATAAACAAGACTGAGTTCTGGAGGTTCTCATTTGGCTAACAATTACTGAGATAAGATTAAAAATCAAGGGTTTAAACAAGTGGTTTGTTTAAAATCCCATTCCCTAAAGTCTCACTCATTTAGCCATTTTTTCAAATTTTCAAAAGTAAATAAATACATTTATTGAGTAAAAAAAATGTGCCAGGCTCTCGGCATTTAAAGTTCTCATCCTCGGGTTGTGCATAGCCTAGCAAGGGGACATTCTTAAAAACTAGCAATAGCATTGGAGTTCAACAGTTATAATAGCCACAGTTAAAGGGAGCACACATAGGACAGAGCAGCAGCTTTGGGAAGGAAGAACTTCACAGAGGAGAAGTATATAAAAAAAGATTTATTCCTTTTTAGAGAGAAAGGAAGGGAGGGAGGGGAAAAGCAAGAGAAATATCGATCAGTTGCCTCCCACACGCCCTGAACCAGAGACATGGCCTGCAACCCAGGCATGTGCCCTGACCGGGAAATGAACCACCTTCATGGGGAATTGAACCAGTGACCTTTCGGACTGGAGGCCGGCACTCAATCCACTAAGCTATACCAGTCAGGGCCTCAGGAGGAGCTTTTTTTAAAATTAAATTTATTGGGGTAAGATTAGTTAATAACATCATTATAAGTTTCATGTGTACAGTTCTATAATACATCATCTGTATATTGCATTGTGTGCCCACCACCCGAAGTCTGGTCTCTTCCCATCACCCTCTTTATCCTCCCCCTTCCCCTGTGGTAGCCACCATACTGTTGTTGTGTCTGTGAGTTTGCCGTCTTTGTTGCTTTCTGTTTTATAGCCCATGTATACGGGTTTTGTCCTTTTCCATCGGACGTATTTCACTTAGCATGATACTCTCAGGATCCATATGTGTTGTCACAAATGGCAACATTTTGTCATTTTCTTCTGGCTGAGTAGTATTTCACTGTATAATTGTACCACATCTTTATCCATGCATCTGTTGAAAGACACTTAGGTTGTGTCCATGCCGTGGCTATTGGGAATAATGCTGCAATGAACAGAGGGTTACATATACCTTCTCAAATAAGGTACTGAGTTTTCAGGGGTTAGATACCCAGAAGAGGGATTGCTGGAGCACATGGTAGCTCTGTTCTTAATCAGCCTCCATCCTGTTCCTGTAGTGGCTACATCAATTTACATTCCCACCAGCAGTGTACAAGGGTTCCCTTTGCTCCATAACCTCTCTAATACTTGTTATTATCATGTCTATAATAGCCCTTTCAACAGGTGTGAAGTGCTAAATCATTGCGGCTTCAATTTGCATTTCCCTAATAGCTAATGAAGTTGAGCATCTTTTCATACATCTATCTCCATGTCTTCTTAGAAGAAGTATCTGTTCAGGTCCTCCTCCTATTTTCTGATTGGATTGTTTGGTTATTTTGTTGGTGTTCAGTTGTATGAGTTTTTTATAGATTCTGGATATTAGCCCCTTATTGGTGGTATCCTTTGCATATATCATCTCCTATTTGGTTGGTTGCCTTTTTGTTTTCTTGATGGATTCTTTTGCTGTGCAGAAGTGCTTTAGTTTGATGTAGTCGCATTCATTTATTTTTGCTTTTACTTCCTTTGCCTTTGGGGTCAAGTTCACAAAACCCTTCTGAAACCAAGGTTCATGAGCTTATACCTACTTCTATGTATTGTTGTTTCAAGTCTTTTTAATAGTATCTTTAATACATTTGACTTAATTTTTGTATACAATGTCAGCTAGCATTCTAGTTTCATTCTTTTGAATGTGGCATTCCAATTTTTCCTGCACCGTTTAGTGAAGAGGCTTTCCATTCCCCATTGTCAGTTTTTGGCTTGTCAGATATTAGTTGCCCATATTTGTGTAGGTTTACTTCTGAGCTCCCTGTTCTGTTCCATTGGCCTCTGTGTCTCCTTTTCCTGCCAGTACAATACTGTTTTGATTATTATAGCTTTGTAAAGTATAGTTTGAAGTCAGGAAATGTGATATCTCTGGCTTTTTTCTCACAATTGCTTTAGCTATTCAGGACTTCTGTGTTCCAAACGAATTTGAGAATGTTTTTCTCTATTTCTTTGAAAAAATTCACTGGGATCCTGGCTGGCATGGCTCAGTGGGTTGGGTATCATCCTGCAAACCAAAAGGCTGCCATTTCAGCTCCCTGTCAGGGCACACGCCTGGGTTTCAGGCCAGGTCCCTGGTTGGGGTGTACAACAGGCATTAGATCAGTGTTTCTCTTGCACATCAGTGTTTCTCTCCTGCTCTTTTTCTCTCCCTTCCCTTCTCTCTAAAAATAAATAAATAAAATCTTAAAAAAGAAAAGAAAAATGTCATTGAGATTCTAGTGGGGATTGCATTAAATCTGTATGTGACTTGAGGCAATATAGTAGCCATTTTAACTATGTTAATCCTTACAATCCATGACATGAAATATCTTCTTGTTTCTTTATGTCTTCAATTTCTTCCCACAATATCTTGTAGTTTTCAGTGTATGGTTTCTTCACTCCCTCAGTTAAGTTTATTCCTAAGTATTTTATCCTTTTTGTCAGAATTGCAAATAGAATTAACTTTTTCCAGTATTTCATTGGTAATATATAGGAATGTAACATTTCTGTGCATTGAGTTTTATATACCGTAACATTACTGTATTTGTTTGTCATTTTTAATAGTTTTTGGTGGAGTCTGTAGGGTTCTCTATACACAGAATCATGTCATCTGCAAATAGTGACAGTTTTACTTCTTCATTCCCAGTTTTATGCCTTTTATTTTTTCCTCTTGCCTAATTGCTCTGACTAGGAGTTCTAGTACTGTGTTCAATAACGGTGGTGAGAGTGGGCATCCTTGTCTTGTTCTTGATCTTAGAAGAAAAGCTTTCAGTTTTTCACCATTGAGTATGATACTAGCTGAGGGTTTGGCATATATGGCCTTTATTATGTTGAGATACATTTCTCTATACCTATTGTATTGAGTGTATTAATCATAAATAGATGTTTTATCTTGCCAAATGGTTTTTCTGCATTTATTGGTATGATCATATGCTTTTTATCTTTTATTTTGTTAATGTGGTATATCTTTTGATTGGTTTGCATGTATTGAATCATTTTTGCATCCCTGGAATAAACCGCACTTGACGTGGTATCTTTTTAATATATTACTGTATTTGAATTGCTAGTGTTTTGCTTAGGATTTTTGCACCTATGTTTGTCAGAGATATTCGCTTGTAATTTCTTTTTGTGTGTCTTGTCTGTGCCTGGTTTTAGTAACAAGGTAATGTTGGCTTTGTAAAATGAGCCAGGGAGTATTCTGAGGAGGAGCTTTTAAGGAGGATTAGACAAGTAGTGTTACAGAACAAGGGGGGGCCTGGGACGATATACTATTATTGAAAGAAGGCCCCGGGTCCGTTATGTCCGCCACCAGAGGAAAGACGTCTCTCAATGCCAGAGATTTCTGAAAAGGAAAGGAAATGTTTATTTAATGCTATACAAACTTAAAATAGTGACCTAATGTCTTTATCAAAAATCCTAAAGTCCCTTAAAACACCCACAAACAGACACAGTCCTTCCTTCCTTCCCCCTTTGCCCAGTCCAGAGTACTGTATCTCAGGAAAGGAAATAGAAGTCCATGGCTCAGGCAGTCCCCTGGTTATTCCCAGTTAGTACTCCATCTCGACTGGGAGACCTCCCTGGGTTCCCAGCACCATCAGCTATGTCGCCAGGATCTCTGCTAAAACCAGGTGGTGGTTCCCCCTTCTAAAGCTGCAAGGGTCCCCACTCTGGCAAAGGCATGTGGTCCTTTCTCCCCGGGCCACGGGAGTCCCCACTCAGCCAAAACCACGTGGTTCTCTCCCTCAGGGCTGCAGGAGTCTCCACTCTGTCAAGGCCACGTGGTTCTCTCTCTCCAGTAGCTATGATCCTCTCTGCACTTCCACAGCCGCATGGTTCTCCCTTCAATGGCTGCCGCCTCTGGATTTAAATCCCTGTGCCAGTCTTCCTCTGCAGCCCCATTTCCGACTCCTCCCACACTCGGCTTCACATGCCAGAACTCATATCCTTCCAGCTTTACTGGGCTGCCATCATGAGTCTGGGTAGGCGTGGCCCCATGTCCTGGAGCCAATCTTCTCCGAGCTCCCATGCAGGCACTGTAACTCGGGGGACCTGCCCCCCAGTTATGTCTTGGTGGGGTAGTTACTTCCATTCCCCTGGATCAGAGCCTGGCCACAGCTATTTAACATATCTAAGCAACCAGCCAAATGCTATAGATATGTGAAATGACCACACCAGAGGTTAGCTGCAAGGCTGTTGCTATGCGAAACACCTCTCAAAGGCCCTGCTCCATTTGTCTCTTCCCCCAACCCATATCCTGGGCGGGGAGAGGGCGCAGTGAGGACATCCTAAAATCTCCTGGACACCTTAAGTTCTGGACCCCATTTCAAATGCCTATTTGGGGTCCCCACCTCTTGGCTGCACCCTGTAACAGTAGCACAAATTTACCAAACTTGCTGTGGGGAAAGAAGGCCAACCTTGCAAATGGAAAAATATGTACAAAGGCATGATGGGATGAGACAGAAAGGTAAGTTCAGGGCCTTTGAGGTAACTGAGCAGAATAGGAGGCTATGTTCTGTAGGGGCAGAGGGAGGAAAAATGTCCTAGGGCCCCTCACTAACCTGCCATGGACCACCAAAGAGACCGAACTTGCAGGACAATCAGTTCTGTTGGGAGAGTCCTGCCCTAAATTCTTTTAATACCTAAGAAACTTCTATTTCTGGCAATATGGTGAGATAAATATCCTAGAAGATTTTTTTGCTATAACATCTAAAAATGAAAATTAAAATATACTTAAACACTTTTTAATTGACTGGATGTATCTGC